TTTATTTTTTGGAGACGGAGTCTCACTCTGTCACCCAGGCTGGAGTGCAGTGGCACACGATCTCGACTCACTGCAACCTCTGCCTCTAGGGCTCAAGTGATTCTCCTGCCTCAGCCTCTAGAGTAGCTGGGACTACAGGCGTGAGCTACCGCGCCTGATAATGTTTGTATTTTTAGTAGAGATGGAGTTTCAGCACGTTGGCCAGGTTGGTCTTCAACTCCTGACCTCAGGTATCCACCTACCTCAGACTCCCAAAGTGCAAAACCCTGCTCTCTACAAAAAAAAAAAAACAAAAATTAGGTGTGGTGGCACATACCTGTAGTCCTCCCTACCCAGGAGGCTGAGGTGGGAGGATCACCTGAGCCTGAATGTCCAGGCTGCAGAGTGAGCCGTGATCATACCACTGCATGACAGAGCGAGATACTGTTTCAAAAAACAAAGAAACAAAGCCAAATATTTCTGCTAGTGCATGACAAGGAAAAAAAAATACCTCAAGGAGTTGTTATTGTTAAAGGCTAGTGTTAGGAACTGGAGCTTCCTAGAAATACTCTCTGAAAAAAGTGCTTTTTCAACTATTAAATTTTATTTTACACTTAAAGCTTATTATATGAGGTCACATGAGTAGTCAAATTCATAGACACACAAAGTAGAATGGCGGATGCCAGGGACTGGTGGGAGGAGAAATGGGGACTTAGTTTTTTCATGGGGACAGAGTTTGTTTTGCAAGATGAAAAGAGTTTCAGAAACGGATGGTGGTGACGGCTGATGCACAGCACTGAATGTACTTCATGCTACAAAAAATGTACACTTAAGAATGGTAAATTTTATGTGTATTTTGCAATTTTAAGACAAAACCAAACGACGACAAAAACAAAGCCCAAATAGGTTAAATAACTTCCTAATGTTCCTAAACTAGGCAAATTTAGAGACTAGCTCTTAGGTCCGGTTTTGACTGCTGAGATGAATGGGTTATTTTTAAGCTGGAGCAGTTTGTGTTCCACCACACAGTTATACAACGCAAGTAGAAACAGGAAGAACATATTCCCTAAGGTTTTTTTTTTCTTCCTGTTTGCCAGGCCTTAACCTGCAGGCGTCCTTGACAACCTTTTCTGGTTATATAAGCGATGACAAAGCAAGGCAAACCCTTCCCACCACCTCTCTGACTCCACCCTTTTTCTTGGGGGAAACAAGTTTGTTGACCCTCACTCATGCTCTCAGATAGTTTCATGGGGCTGGATTAAATCACATACAAGGTGGTGACTTTCAGAAGGGGGAACTGAATCCTTAGGGGGAGGGGAGAAAGGAAGGCGGAAGAGCAGGCACTGATCCACCCCCGCACCGCCCAGCTGCAGCCCAGCACCCGGGCCCTTTGTGAGCTCAGCCCATCACATGCTCCCTTCCGCCTGCCAATCCCGCCCTGTTGCTGGGCCTCTGTCCCTTCTCCATTGGTGCCAGCTCTGAAGCAATCTTTTCTGGGGCGCCTGCAAAGGACGGATCTGTGGGTGGAACGAACTGAAAACGGATTCAGTGACTCATCCCGACTCTCGCACATTCTAGCACATCGCATTCTAGGTCAGCAGGGTTTAGGTTTTAAGAGCGTGACTTGATACCTGACTCCTGAGTCCAAGTGGGACATTTAGACTTTGGGAACCCTTTCGGAAAATAGAAAAGCCGTCGTTGCAACAACAAAAATCCTTTGTAGGACACGGTTTCTCAATTTCAGCACTATTAACATTTTGGGTGGGATTATTGTGGGAGACTGTTCCTCATAGAATGTTCAGCGGCATCCCTGGTGTCTACCAAGAGTGCTAGTATTAGTAGTAGCACCCCCTAACCTCCCTGAGTTGTGACAACCAAGAATATCTCCAGATATTGCCAAATGTCCCCCTGAAGGGCAAATCACTCCGTGTTGAGAATCATTGTTCTAGAGAAGCATCAGACACCTGTGTTTTGGGAGGCCATTTTCTTTTCCTTTCTCTGTCACCTCAGTGACCTTGGAGAAAGGTTTATTTCTGTTTGCTTCAATAACCATTTAAGTCAGGGAATGCTGGGGTGTTTTCAATAATTTTTTTCTGCTAGAGACAACACTGGTTTCTCTTTGTAGCTCACCTTTGGCCCATTACCCACCCTACCCTTATCCCCTCTTCTTCCTTTTTCCTCCTCCTGTCCTCCTCTCCCTCCCATCCCTCTGCAGTCAGGGCTGTTTTTTCTCTGTACCTTTTGGACTCTGAAAAAAGCTATGTCACAAAGCTGGTGACTCAGCCTTTAAACAACATGAATCACAAGGCTTGCAGCAGAGCAACAGCCAAAAGCAACCAGGGCGTGGTTGAAAGCCAGGCCTCGTCACCTCACAAAGAATCTCAGCTTTTTATTCCTTTCAAAACTCCTTCCCGAAATCTAGGGGAGAAACAAAAAACAAAAACTTTGCAGAAATGTGTATTGGAACTCACTGGGGTTTCCTGCCAATCCTGGAAGATGACACTTATTATTCCTTTTAATTTCCCACTAACACATGAATTCATTCTCTTAAAATTGTTAAAAATTAGAGATGTCAAAGTCTGTTTTGAACATTGCACAGATCTTGGATTTTCATAAATACACACAAACATGGGTTACCATAGAGAATATGTAGCAGGTTCATTTTGCTTTGATGCATATTTTAAGTGTGCCGTTTAAATAATGTAATGTTCGTAACTTAAAACAAGAATGTAGTCTTTTCCTAATGGCAGAATATTTTTCAGTTGCTAGCCTCTTTTTCTCTCTTTTTGAAGCTTTCAAGGGTAGAAATCAAAATAGTCTCCCTACCTCCAATACATTTGTAGAAACAGGGACTATTTCTAGAAGACTCCAGAAGGAACAGTGACTGGGAAATTGAAGGCATGAGGGAGACTTTTCACTGTACACTTTAAAAAGACACATTTAAAAAATCTCACCATGTTCGTATTTGTTAAAACATTTTAAAAATATACTGAAGAAATGACACATAAGGATCACAAAATAGGTTGTGGTAAAAATTTAAAAACCTGGCTGGTGATTCTTTTCTCCCCACTTCTTTTATCAAAATAGAATTGCCCTGTAGAATTACATTTCATATTTGACACCCTACCCTGCCCTGAAATAGGGCTGGGATTCTATTCCTGTCTTTTAAAACCTTCGGTTTAAATGGGTCCGATTATTGAATGGATCCTGATTACAATAATCGTACCCATTGAAACCAAAGAAATTTCTAGGCCTCCCTGTTGAAACCAAGTAGGACCTTTCCATACCCGGCCCTCAGAATGTACACGAAGGTGAAAGAACAGTCTAGAAGAATGTCGTTCCCTCAGCCTTGGGTTCCAGCTAAAAAAAAAAAAAACTGTGTGGGGTTTTCGCCTCTCTTTTCCAAATTTAACCTAGACACCAGCTCCTCTGCAGTGTCTCACCTCGAAAGTTCTCGAGCGTTCCCCAGCTTTAAGGCCGCGCCCGGCCTGAGATCTGCTGAGTCATTGTCCTTGTCCCGCGGCCCGCAGCGGGGGAGGGGCGCGGCACCGGGGAGCCCCCGCGACCGGGCTGGGAAGCTCAGGAACACTGAGGGGGGCTGAGCAAAGAAAGCCCCGTCATTATCTCAAATGTGACCAAAAATAAAGACCCGTCCGTCTCGCAGGGTGGGGAGGGAGACCCCGACTCTGCGGGAGGCGCTCGGTCCGTGCCCCACGTCCGCCGAACGCGGGGTTCGCGACC